ATATCTTCATGAATGGCTGTCTGAAATAGCTGCCTGGTCTCACAGCCTGACACCAGGGGCAGTGGGGGTGTCCCCACACTCACCTTCCATTGATGGCAACTTTCCCTGGACTTCTGCAGGTAAGTGTTCTATCAAATCCCATTTTGTTTTAGTTTATTTCTTTGATCATTAAAGAATTTCCTTTGTGTTCAACTTGTATTTCCCTGTCTACAAATTTTTCTTATTTTTTGCCCCTAAGCTCAGCAGAGTGAAGGTTCTTCCCAACTTATACACACATTCCATATTGAAAACCCTGTGGTCACATTTTTTTGCAAGTAGTTCCTTTTTAGTTTCTCTTTTTTTTTTTTTTTCATTTGTTTATTTATTTATTTATTTTTGGTCTTTTTGAGATAGGGTCTCCCTGTAGCCCCAGCTGGTCTGGAACTCACTATGTAGACCAAGCTAGCCTTGAACTCAGAGATCCACCTGCCTCTGCCTCCCAAATACTAAGATTAAAGGGGTGCACCACCACACCCAGCTTTGTCTTTAATTTTTTCATGTTTTTCCCCCTCAAATCTTTAGGTCTACCTATGGGTCTTTCTTTCCTTTCTTTGTTGATTGTGCTTAGACATTCTTATCATGATTCCCCTAGTGTTTGCATTAACAACTCATACTAAACTCATCCCTTATCCTTTTCCTCTAATTCCTGTTTCCTTCACTTTTTTCTTGCAGTAAAAATTTTATCTCAATCATGCTGATCTAATATTATGATTTTTCTTTTACTACAAGGATATGCTATTCTTGTGTGATGGGTGAATCCTTGATAGAGTTTAGAATCACCATGGAAACCTACCTCTGGATGTGTCAGAACTTTTCCAGAAAGGCTTAACAGAAGAGGGAAAACCCTCCTTAACTGGATGGCACAGTGTTTTAGCACAGTGATGAGAAAAGTGACTAATAAATCCATTCTAGGATTGGGAGTGGGGTAGGGTCTCAACATGTGGTCTGGGCCAGACTTGTTGCAACATCCTCAGCCTCCTGATTTCTGTGATCACAGTTGTGACCAGCATATCAGGTTCTTAGGAAGCATTCTTAAGTTTGAGCTTTCAGATTTGATTCTCATTTATTTAGCTATTGGTTACATGCCTGCCTGTCCATATTTTAGCTGATAACCCTTCATCCTAGTAGAAGTATTTCTATGCTTATATGACAATCATCATCATAATATCTCTTGCTGTGCTTTCCAAAATCCCCAGCTTAGCCCCTTGAATATGTGTAACATTATTAGTGTAGATGGCTCACCTGCTAGCTCATTCTGCATTGATGGAATAGGCCTGTGTTTTTCCTGTCCAGTATTACTATGGTCATAAGCCACATGGAGTTATGGAGCACTTGAAATGTGGCGAGTAGGAATGATAAGCTCAATTTTAGATTTTATTTGATTTTAATTACATTCAGAGAGTTACATGAAGCTAGGGGCCTCTGTGTTGGACTGGGCAAGCACAGGCCTTCCAACGCTCATTTTCTACTCTCCAGATCCATTTGTGGATATCTGACTGGGCTCGTTAAGGAGACAGAAACAATCTCTGTGAATTCTAAATTCAACTCTAAATTCAAACAACTATGACTATGTTTTTTTCTCACCTACCTAGCTTTAAAAAGCCACAGTTTTTGCACATTTAGCTGAATTTAACAATATCATTTGCTCCCTTCACCAGGCCCAATTTTCAGGTTTGAGGATGGTTATGATATAAGCCAATTCCTTTTTGCCCACAGTGATATTTTTGTGGTTTTTATTGTTGGTTGGTGCTTTGTCTGAGACAGGCTCTCACTCTGTAGCCCTGGTTGGCCTGGAACTCACTGTGAAGACTAGGCTGGCCTGAACTCACAGAGATCTGCCTGTCTCTACCTCTTGAGTGCTGGGATTAAAGGCATACACCACCATACCCAGGCCCACAGTGATATTTTTGTCTGCATCATGTTACCTCTTATATTTGTTATTTTACTCTCAAGATAAGCCAGGGTAAAAAGCACCCCAAATTAACCCCAGTAACCTACTGTGAGAGTCTCAAAGCCATAAAATAAAACAAGACATCAGCAGATACTGATATGAAATGCTCCTAGGATTTCTTAAAAGCTGGTTGTAAATTTCTTTTTGTTATACCTGTAAAATATGAATTTTAAAAGGTGATAGTGAGAAAGAATTGTGTAAATAGTATGAGAATTCCCCAGTGCTTTACTAGGGTATAGGATTTCCCTTAAATAAATTTAGATGGATTTTTTTTTCAGCCCACAACATGCATGGATGAAGGAGGGTATAGGATGGGTACTTCAGCTTCAGTAATTTCCATTTCACTATGGATGCAAAAGTTTCTTACAAAACTCCATGGTGTGGCTGCTTATCCCCTTCTCCCAGCTTCTGCATTTGAGTGCCGTGTCCCCATATTCCCAGAAACCCCATTTCCTACCCAGTCACAGCCATTACAGAGCCTACCTCATGTCCTGCTGCTTCTTGACACACGGTGGGCAACAGCCATTTCTGAGGCCTCCATTTCAAGCTGGAAATACAAATAAAACTTTGTGTAGCACTGTTTTCCTTCTCTCTTTCCAGAATTTAAGAGAAAGGGTGAAGAATAAAGTGGAACAAGAAAGGAAGGAGTAGAAAGAGGAAGGGTAAGAAGGATAAGCAAGAAGAGAAATGCAAGTCTCCTCACAAGTGCTTGTTATGTTATGTAACAGCCCTGAGAATGAACAAAAGGGCTTCTGCTTATCTTAAGTAGCTATTTTCCCTTATTTAACTCTCAATGAAAAAGAAGAAATAGCTAGTTATGGTATAATGATGATGGCCTTTAATTCTTTTTCTAAATCTTTTCCCAAGGTTTTCAGTACAGAATCTCAGGCACCACTTGATAATCATCTCTCCCATGTTGTCTCAGGAGTTTTTATTAATATTTTTTGTATTATTCTACTATTAACAATATATTTTTTGGGACTGGAGAGATGGCTCAGTGGTTAAGAGCACTGATTGCTCTTGTAGAGGACCCAGGTTCTGTTCCTAGCACCCACGTGGCAGCTAACAACCATCTGTAACTCCAGTTCCAGGAAATCCAACCAAACCTAGCTCTCTTCTGACCTCTTCAGGCATTTCATGACATGAGTGCACTTACATATATTCAGGAAATATGCTTACATACATAATAAATAAATAAGTAAAATACTTTTTAAACAATATATTTCTCCTGTCAACTTTCTCCTGTTCTCAAATCATGTTTGACATTTGTTCTCAATGAATTATATATTAAATAATTATCTGTTCTCTACTTAGGACATTTATATTTCCTAGAATCTAAAGTCCAAGATCTTTCTAGATACCTGGGCTATTCTTTAGAACAGCATTCAACATGTGTTTGGGGGGGCAGATATTTCAAGCCAGGACTGGCTATATAACTTTTGAAGACCAATATGAATAGAAAGGTGCTGTATGAGTTACTTTTATGTTGCTACGATAAAACACCACAACTAAGACAACTTACAGAAGGAAGAGTTTATTTGGGCTAATGCTTCCTGAGGGACAAGAGTCTATTGTGGTAGGGAGGCATGGCAGCAGGAAGCAGAAAGTCGAGAACTCGGGTCTTGGACCACAGACACAAGCAGAGAGAGTAAACTGGAAGTAGTGCCAGGCTGTGAACTCTCAATACCCGTCCCCACTGACACACTTGCTCCTGCAAGGTTACATCTTCTAAAGATTACATGACCTCCTAAATAGCACCACCAACCAGGGTCAAAGTGTTCAAATACCACAGGCACCTTGTTCACAACCATGAACTTCAGGGCTGGGAATGGAGTTTAGTAGTAGATAGGTACTTAGCATGCTGGAGGTCCTGAGTCCCAACCCCAGCATGCCACCCAGAAATGATCATGTAAAGCATGAAACCAAGTGTAGGACTTTTCTGTTTGGAGTCCGAAAAATTCCCTGAATTGACCACTCAGACACTGAGACTCAGGAGAGCTTAACTGCTTTATTGAAATTGACCGGCCAGGGACGCAGGCAGACTCAGGAGCTACACTGTGACCCAGAGCCATGGAAATGCAGGGATTTTAAGCACAAAAACCACAGAACAGGAGATTTCTATAGAAACCATAAACAGATGTACCAGGAAAGGGTTCGAACAATCTAGGGCTGATTTCCAGAGCCTTAACCTATACAGCCATTGGCTAGCTTACCTGGGGCAGAATGTTCTTCCACTTCTGCCCCAGACCATTTCCATAGAAACCACAAACAGATGTACCAGGAAAGGGTTCAAACAATCTAGGGGATTTCCAGAGTCAGGTGGAGGGCAGCTCTTTCTCAGAGGACAGGGAGGGGGTCTGAGGGGCACTCTCCTTCATTTCTAAGCAGGAAGCCCTGGACCATGATACAGTCACACTCCCATAAAACAACCCTGTTTCTAGCTCTAGGGAATCATATTGGGAAGAGCAGGTACAATACCCTCGAGGCAAAGTCATGTGTATTAGGGTTTTTTCACTGCCTTTTCTTGCCTCTTCTCTTTTAGAGAAGGAGAATCCATTGTTAAGAATTGAGAGCTACTCTGATTCGGTCTATGGAGACCCAGAGTCCCCTGGTCCTAGGAGAACTTTGGATTTTGTTGGAGAATTCTGGAGTTCTGAGCAGATGAGGTCCATGACTTAGCATGAGTATTGGACAGGCGTTCTGAGAGCAGCATGGAAGGTAGACCAGGGAGGGATGGATGGTCACAGAGTCAGGGGAGCAGCCTTGCCCCAGGTGAGAATGAGGAGAGCCTCAACTGAAGTTGCCCCAGAAGAGGAGGAAGGTGAGCATGCATTCCTGTGTAATAAAACCTGCTCACTAACAGGAGATAAATGGAACCAGGAATCATTGTCTGGTTTGGACTCATGAAGGAGACTGGTTGATGGTCACTGAGGTAGGAGCAGCAGACTTGGTGGGGGACATGGCATCATTTGGGAAGTTGAATTTCAGATGCCAGTGAGTATCCAAGTTGAGGCCTTGATAGATAGTTTTAGATGTCTAAGAGATAAATCTGAGGGCAGGTCAGTGGCAGGCACTTGCCTATTGTGCAGGAGGTCCTGGGTTTAATCCCAAGGGGGTAGATCAGTGTGATCCTTGGCCCATGGCCATCAGACCCTCCCACTCTGCTTCTCATTGCAGGCTGTAAGGGCCAGCAGGTTGTTTCCCCCAGGGTCTTTTCGGTGCTGTGGACTGTGCTTTAGGGGTATCCTCCCACTGGCATATCTCTTTCTGGACATAGACAGTGGCTCTTTTCCACAGGTCATAGGAGCCATTGTCTACAGCAGCCCCACCTCTTTCCTTTTGTTCTTCCAACCCAGAAGGGAAGCAACCTTCTGGCCTTGCTAATTTCTCAGTCCTTCCATTACCTATGGGGATTAGATTCCTTATATCTTCAAGTGTGTTTTGGTTTTCCTGCTTTGTATCCTGCCTGACACAGGAATCATGAACAGTGCAATGAGGATTGAAGTAATTAAGATTGTAAAGGTTTAGGTGGCTCAGCAGGTAAAAGTTCTTGCCGCCAAGCCTGACAACATGAGTTCAATCCCCAGGACCCACAGGATGGAATGAGAGAACCAACTCCTACTAGTTGTCCTCTGACCTACACACACGTCTTGGCATGTGGGTATGTGTGCACAAATGCACACAAAATAAAGTGCAAAGGAAAAAAGAAATTGTAGTTGAAGGCTGAAATTTCCACTGAATTTGGCAACAAGAGGATGGGAGTCAGACTAAACTGGATTTTTGGGAGGTCTTTTTTTTTTTCTTTTGAGACAGGGTCTCCTTGTAGCCCCAGTTGGTCTGGAACTCGCTATGTAGACCAGGCTGACCTTGAACTTACAGAGGTCCACCTGACTCTGTCTCCTGAGTGCTGGGATTACAGGCCACAACATCCAGCCTACAGTGGATATTTTTAACTGATGAAACTGGGGCTGGAGAGATGGCCCAGAGGCAAAGAGCAATGACTGCTCATGTAGAGGACCCACATGGAAGCTTACAACTGTCCCTAGTTAGGGGATCTGGCACTCTCTTCTGGCCTCTGTAGGTACTAGGTATGCATGTGGTGCACATCCATACATGCAAACACACACACATAAAATAACAATATATCTTTTTAAAAATTTTATGTGTGTGAATGTATTGCTTGCACGTATATAAATGCACCTGTGTTGTGCAATGCCCACAGAGGTCAGAAGAGGGTGTTGGATTCCCTTGGAACTGGAGTTATGGATGATTGTTAGCTACTATGTGGGTGATGAGAATCGAACCTGGGTATTCCGGAAGAACAGAAAGTGCTCTTAACTGCTGAGCCATCGCTTCAGCCCTGTAACAACATAGCTTTAAAAAATAAAATAACATAATTGAGGAAACAATGAACACACATTTCAGATTTTTGTTTTCTAGAAGTGTGATGATTAAAGGAAGGAGTAAAGGAGCAGGACAGAAAGAAGTTTTGAGGATGGGAAGGACTTGAATATCATTAAAAGGTAGAAGAAATAGGAATCGAGATGGATAAGTGAAAGATCTCTGAGGAGGATTAGATCATGACCTAGAGCCCAGTAGAACATATTGTCTCCTACAGGGAAAGCCCCTCCAGCATGAATACAGACACTGATGTGTGCAGAGGGCCAGGCAGTGAGTAAGGACCTGCTAAACTTACACTTGTGCCCCTCCCTTTGGTTATCAGACTATTGAGACTGTGTTCCTCCAAGGAATTGGAATTTCCTCAAGAATCTCATGCTGGGAGAAGAAAGGGACTAGAGTCTGAGATCAGCCCAAAGGGGAGCTGGTCCCCCAGAAAGAGATTTCATGCTGATATAGATGTGGGTCAGATTCTACAGGGCATCCACTGAGATTTCCAAGTTCTTGTATGCTACGACAAAGACTCAGACCAGGGGAACATGGATAGTGATAGAAATAGAGACAGGTTTTTCTATTATTGTTTTTTTTATTTTTTATTTTTGGCATTTTTGAGACAGAGTCTCCCTATAGCACTAGCTAGCCTGGAATTCACTATGTAGACCAGGCTGGCCTATAATTCACAGGAATCTCCCTGCCTCTGTCTCCTAAGTGCTGGCATTAGAGGCGTGCACCACCACGCCTGAGGAGACAGTTTATTAAAGAAGAGAAAGGTGCTTCAAGGAATGGGAGCTGGCTACAGAGCTAGCACAGGAGCAAGACTCAAAAGCACCAAGCCGAGCATTATCACCCCCTACAGGGCATTTACATAGTAACCAACTTCTGCAGACCATCTTGTGGACTTTTCTCCAGTAGCCCTGTTTTGTTACATGTAACCCTGGTGAGGAGAGGTTTTCAGTATTCTGTCAATTGGTTTCTTGTCTGTGTTAATCCTGATACTCTCCAGGCCTGTATTCTCCTGCCAGAACACAGTCCTGACTTTTCAGACCACCTTACAAGTTAAGATTGGAACCCAGGCAATCATGGGCCAATGACAGCTGGAACCACACATTGACCAGACTGCTTAGTTATACATTCCTCTTGGGCCTATAT